GATTGACACGGGTACATGAAAATTTGTGTTTGTGAGGGAAGGGTGCATAATGGTCAAGTTTTGAAGTTTTTGTTTACTCTTCGCTATATTTTTTTCTATATTTGTTTTATACTAAACAATTAAAACTATTTAGATATCAATTCATCTCCGTTTCAGGACCTTTGCTTTTCACGCACATGATGGTCTCATTTTGAAATTTAAGTAATGAAGTTTTGTTCCGTTAAAACTATATTAGTTGGATGTTTTCGAAACTTGGATATGTTCTAGAAGACACACCTAAAAACATCCAATCATGAAGGTTGACTAACCTCTTATTATAAAAGATATTTTTTACCAAAATTTTAAAAAAATTGATTTTAAATTCACGGCAATGCTTCATATTTCATATTTAAAGTTAGTTTAAGCTTCCTCTATAAATAATGAAGTAAGAGCAGTCATTTGGAGCAATATCAAGCAGTGTCAAGCCTTCAACCGTGAGAAATCAACATTTAGATTTTGGGTATCTCTTCCTTGAATTTCTTCTAAATTTGAGAGTTGTAATCCACCATTTCCCTTCAAACTTTTTTCTACCCCTTCTAAAAAGTATTGTCCACAAATCCTCGAAAGAAATCAAGAATTTGAAAATGTTCCTAACTTATATGTCCAATTTTATCTGTCATTGTATATGTTTAAAAGCTTAGAATCGCATTCTCACATTACACATGAATTCATCATGTCTAACCTATCACATTCATACCATCAACAAGCATTTTCATCAAGAATCATGTCCAATGAAAGAAAAATATATTCGGGTAAGATTTGAGGTTAAGTTCAAATTTCCTACCTAGGATCCTCTAAACAAAAATTAAGCATTTCATTAAAGACCTAGTAAGGACTAGAGGGAGCTGCTAATGAGTTTCTGCATTTTGGTTGACTTCCAATCAAGCCTTTGACTCAAACATCGCCACGATCACACAAATTTGTTCTTCCGAGATTACATAAGCATGAGGTAAGTATAAGGAAGAAGTTTCGTGAAGAAGTCATGTCTTGAAAAGGTCTTAATTAGCCTGACAAATAACACCAACTATATGTGAAGAGGGAAAAAATGCGTGTTTGCACAACAGCGAATCAACTTCCTTGGACACGTAATAGAAGCAAGCAAGGTAGGTATGGAAGAGGAGAAAGTCAAAGCCATGAAGGAGTGGAAGACCCCTCCTCAGTGATAGAAGTGCGCTATTTCCTTGGTTGGCAAATTACTATCGGTGATTTGTGGAAGGATTCTCAAAGTGCGCAGACTCCTTGACCGAACTACAAAAGAAGGAAAACAAGTGGAGCTAGACTTCACAGTGTCAAGAAGCCTTTGGCAACCTTAAGAATGCCATGATGGAAGGGCCAGTTTTAGGGATTGCCGATGTGACGAAACCTTTCGAAGTCGAGATGGTGCTTCAGACTTCGCCCTAGGGGCATCCTATTGCAAGAAGGACACCCCATTGCATACGAGAGCCAGAAGCTAAACGATGCAAAAAGAAGGTACGCAGCATCCAAGAAAGAAATGTTGGCAGTGGTCCACTGTTTACGATCTTGGAGATAGTACTTCTTCGGAGCCAAAATTGTAGTGAAGACACACAACAGCTCCATATCTCACTTCTTTAAAAAATCCAAGTTATCGTCGAAGCAAGCGCGTTGGCAAGAATGCATTGCCGAATTTGACTTCCAGTTCAAACACAGGCCATGTAAAGCAAACCAAGGTGCATATGCTCTAAGTTGAAAGAGTGAGTATGCGGCCCTGTGCATGTTAGCTCATCTACAAGCAAGTAAGTTGAGTGGAACGATACAGGAAAGTATCAAGGAACACCTAGCCCGGTCGCTCAGGCCATCATGCAGTTAGCAAGAGAGGGGAAGACTCGCCAGTTTTGGGTCGAAAACAATTTACTCTTCACCAAAGGAAATCGTCTCTTTGCCCCTGTTCGGGGAACTTGAGGAGACTCCTACTAAATGAATGCCACAACACACCATGGGCGGGTCACAACGGGTGGTAGAGAACCTATGCCCTCCTAAAAAGGGGTACTATTGGCCGAACCTCTACGACGATGCGATACAGTTCACAAAGACCTGTCTTATCTGCCAACAAGATGAGGTTGAACGAAACATGATTGCGGGACTACTAGAACCTCTACCAGTCTCGTCCCGACCATGGAAAAGTGTTTCTCTAGACTACATCACACACCTCCCCAAGGTAAGAGAAATGGAGTCTATCTTGGTCATCATTGACAAATTCTCCAAATATGCCATATTTATCCCGACCCGCAAGTCATGCTCGGCCGAAACGACCATACAATTAGTTTTTCGACACGTAGTCAAGTTGTGGGGCATTCCCACTAGGATTGTTAGCGATCGCGATCCGAGATTCACAGGGTCCTTTTGGACTGAATTGTTCAAGCTATTGGGGTCGAGCCATCTCTTCGAGTAATCACCCCAAAATTGATGGACAAATAGAAAGGTTTAACAGTATGCTTGATCGAGTCTTGGCTATGTTTCAAAGAAAATGTTTTAGAAATGGTAAGGAAGGAAATGTATTTTTTTTTTTTTTTTTTTTAAGAAAGCAATAGTAGAGGCTATAAGAAAATAAGCAACAACCACAACTTTGATAGCATATAACCTGAATAGGAAGAATTGATGACTAGTCACATACCTTATAGTACATTTTAGCCCTGACGGGTGTAGACACAATTTTGTTGATAGGTTATACACCCCCGTACTAACACAACAATAATAGTGAATGCTTATCTAACTTGAAAGTAAGTAAAGAGGTTTGGAACGGGCATGCGGCTGTGGACAACACGTCATGAAAAGCATAATTGGACATCTTATATGCGACCGTAGGCAACACGCCTTGGACAAGCATGACCGTGACAACCTACAACTTGACTTAAGCTCACCTCGTCTTGACAAGGTATGTAAGTTGTAAAGTTAGTAGACATGATCTCACTCCTTATGTGAATTATATGCATATGTCAGTTACTGTCTTTTAAACTAATTAGGATACAATTGGTTACAATACCTAATAACTTGGAGTCTATGGCATGATGATAGTTTATGGACCTTAAAACCTGAAGTGGTACTATACGAGAAGATAGAGCAGGTAGAGCCTTGACTGAGACCTACCCTGCTCAAATTCCTTATAAGGAAAGGCATGCTAAGAACAAGCGTTGGAATAAGTAGATACCATGATGCTACCATCTATGATCTAGGTCAATCAGATAAACTAGGGTAACATAAACAGTGGAGAAAATGTCAGAATATCTTAGTGGTCGAGAGTGTTAAGATTATGCCCTAAAGCCTCGTAATTAATTGTTTAATTTTAATAATAACTTTGATTATTTTATTTAAAATTTAATATTATCCCATATGTGATTCACATACAAGAGGATCATGTTTAAGAATAACCTAAAGGGTCTATAGTATATGAATAAGGTTTGCCGATGCTAAGCAACTAGAAGGTTCAACCACACCACAGGTAATTCCTTCAGCATTTTTACATAAAGCTTTAGCGATGTGATTCTCGTAAGTTAGCTTTATGTCAAGCTTAATCCAGTGCAATGATTTGTTGGGCTACAATCAAAACTGATTGCTATTTCAGTGGCCGAAGTTTCCTTGATGTCTTCGTATGTTACTTCGCTAACTTTAACTTCCGAATCCTAAGTTATATTATAAAACCAAATATAAACTAGGAATTCAATAATAAGATATAAATATATACAACAAATAAGATATAAATCGACCAGTCTTAAATTTTCTATATAGTATATATAAGTTAGAGCAATTATCTCTAATGATATTAGATATTTTGGATAAATTAAAAAATAAAATCATAAAAGCTTCATACCATTTTAAGACATCGGAGAATAATAGCATCCTTAATTTATTACCTATAAAAGTAATTTGATGTACAAAAAAAAATAATAATAATACTAATAATTTAAACCTAAACAAATTTCAAACAAAGATAAAATAAATCAATTATTTATAAAATAAAAAGATTAAGTTCTATTCCTTCCATTTAAGCTTAAATATAATTAGAAAAAATTTAACAGGTATGAGATTAATGAGGAAAATATAATTAGAAAAAATTTAAGATGTAGACAATAATTTTGATTAATTATGATTGAGTTTTTCACATTATGTGTTGAAAATGAACTTTTGTAGCGAATTCATTGCTTGGTCTTTCCCAAAACTTAATCCTTACTCCAATTTTGAATCCCCGTGAATGTAGATGATTTCAGTGTAATGTTATGCCGTCCATCCTCCTAAGCCTCCATCCCTAAGCTCCCCATGCTACAAACACATTCAACAAAATATCAAATATTTCCTGAGTTTTAATTTCCTCCCTCTAACCTAATATATTATATAACTATTTTTATCCAAAATAATTTTAAAGTAATTTTCAAAATAACTTTAGAATATATTTTAATCATTTAAATTTAATTTTATGTTTAGTTTTATCTTTTAAAATTGAATGTGACAAATTTATTTAAACTCTTTAAAAAATATTTTTAAACATGCTCATCCTAATCTATCTCCAGTTACCTGATTCCATGTCTAGGTCCACATGTAATACTTTCCATCCACATGTTAAATGTCCCTAGACCGATGGAGACCAGTCGTCACCATTTCTGATGTTCGAGTTGAGGATGGTCACATCTGATGATTGTTGCACATGGATGCCATCAGTGTTTGGACTATCGCCTGCAGAAAAGACATTCACACCTGTCATATGCACATTTTGGCACCGATTCATTACAATGCTGAACAATTGGCTGTTAATTGAAGATAATCCATTGATGTTCACTTCTTTCCATCATTTATTTGAAGACTCTATCAATTCAAAACAATCCAAAGCCCAGAATTAGTAAAAATTTAAAATAATATTGTAATTAATCCATTCTATTTTCTTTCAACTTTGGGTTGAAAAAAAATCAATTTTTTTGTATGGAGCAAACTCAAATTCTACATACCCTCGCTCAGATGGGGCAACTCTTCCCTGGGTGTTTGTAATTCCATAAGGCAGTTCCTTGTCCATCAATAAGACCACCACTAATGAAAAGACCATTTATATGATTAAACAAAATCCAAGAACTAGATTCAGCTAAAACTTGAATGTCCGAGGAAGCCACAAGAGTTCCATCAATGAGAACAGTAATAGCATTGTTCTTACAAGGTCCATTAAATCTCGCACTTCGAACGAAGAATATATCCTCGGGAACGTAAATAATGGCTGGTTTAGATGAGTCACAGGCCTTAGCCCATGTCGTTTGAAGCACAGGCAAGGCATCAGTCTTTTCATCGGGCTTAGCTCCGAGAGTAACAATATTGAATGTTAATTCAGTAGCTGAGGCATGGTTAAAAAATAAAAGTAGAAGGGAAAGAAAAACATGCAAGATTACAAGAAGAGAGAAAGAAAACTTAATGATACAAGTGTTCATGATAAGCATGAGAGAGAGAAAGTAAGCAAGTGATAGGAAAATAGGAGAGGTGTGGAGTGATATTTATAAGTCAATGCTTATCCTTCCAACTCTAATTTTAATTATCTGTCTCATGTACTATTTTATTCTTATTCTATTTAATCATTATTGTTTTTATATGGTTTAACCCTTTTTAATTATCTATGTCATGTCGGTAAATTTAATTTTTAAATTTAAGTCTATCTTATAAGATAAGACACTGATTATCATTTTAATGATTGATCTCTCATTTTTAAAAGTATTAAATTAAAAAAAAAATTCTTTGTCAATATTATTTTATTTTTGTTCTAACTTAAAAAGGGATGGGAAGATTTTAACTAAAAAAAACCTAATTTTTCCAACAAATTATTTTCTAAAAATGGATGTTTAATTAATTGTTTAGGTCACCTAAAGAACTATGCAATAGAACAAAATGCTATTATATATTTTTTTATCATGTCGTTGTTAGTGATGTAATAGAAAGTTGGTGACTTTTTATTTGCAAAAATGTCACAAATAATGAGAGGCAGAATTGTTAGTCATATTTGTAACTATCCAATAAAGTTACAAATGCATCACACAAAGAAATAATTTAATAATGTTACATTTTTTGAAGTCTTAAAGTCTATCAATGATAGAGTATATCAATAATATGCCGTTTTTATATCTATCAACAATTTTTTTTTATCATTTATAGACTTTTTTTTTTTATGGTCGCTTGGTGATAGATTTGTATCAATATGATAGACATCTCTTTTCTCCTTTGATTAAATTGAACCCAATTATCACTATGATAGGTTCTTTCCTTTTATCACTTAATTTTGTAAAATCATTTAAGCACGAGTAGTTGAAAGTTTGTAAATTAGACTTGATCAGTTTAAAATGAATGAACTAAAATCTAATTGGTGTAGAGCCAACAAATCTCCAAGGGGATGGATGGATGGAGAGAGATCCATGAAAAGGTAAAATAAGTGAGGGATGAGAGAGATATCTTCTAAATACAAAGATTGGGCACCTTAAGCAACTATTAGGACTTGTATATAACCAGGATAGGAAGAATTGAAAACTTGTCACATCCCCCTATAGTAAGTTTTGAGGCATTTTGATCTTGGTATGTATAAACATGATTTTGGTGAATGGTCATACACCTTCGAATGGACATAATAGAAATGATAAAGACCTAACTCCGTAAAAACAAGTAAAAGGGATTGGAACGAGCATGAGGTCACTGATAACACACCTTGGACAAACATGATAGTGACATCTAGAATGCGACTATAGGTAACAGACCTTTGACAAGCATGCTTGTGATATTCTCCTCCACTCAATTGGTTGACATCTTTATCAACTAACTCTTCACGAACTAAGCAATGTAGAATGAGGCTGACTTTAGCCCTCTCGAAGTGTTTCCAACCGATCTCAGCATTGTGATATCTCTTCCGATCTACCAAGAAATTTTATAAGTCTTTTCTTGATCCGTTGATTTGTCGTATCATTTAACCAAATTCTCTTCTACTTCCTTGGTAATGAGATTCTTCATTATGGCAAGAGGTCGTGTTGTCGCATTGTTATTGGTGTCTTCTTGATTGGGATACATTTCAAGTTTATGACGTGGATAAATAACTATTCCTCATCCATGGGAGCAATTGGTTACTATAGGATCCCTTCCAAACCTTCTACATGACTTTGACCGGTCTATAGTATTTTTGCATCAACTACTGATTCTTATTGCTTTGGAATCAAAGTTGATCGGATCTAAGCTTGATTAGAACTTTGTCTTCACTTCCAAACTTTTTGCAGCTTGTGTTTCCAACCAGTTATTTTATTCATTCGTTTGGATGTTTTTTTCCCGATTAGACACTAGTTCCTTTGGAGATTTGTCTCCACCTTTTGGTGGAGGTATTCGCTTGGACCTCTCCCCAGCATTCGAGTGATCACTAAAAAATTTGACATTCAACAAGTCATTTAACTATTTATGAGATTCAGCTAGCTCCGATTGAGGCAAACGACACATATTTGTAATAGAGGATCTCGTCCCTAATACTAAATCAATTTTAGATCTATCACTCTAGGTGGAGAAGCCATATGTTGTGATGTTTTCCTCTTGTGACTTGTGAGGTTTTTATTTGAATTTACTCACTCGAGCCCTCCTCTTCAATAATGGGAAGGATGATGAGTGTGGGTTAATAATAAGAAAGATTGAGTCTCAATTATAGCATCGATATCATCTTCACCCTTTTGGTTATCGGGTATGGATCTGAATGATGGTGTGGTTTGACCTCATAACCACGAAGCATTTTGTTTGGGGCATGGAAATGACCTTACCTTTAAGAAAAAAAATCTATTCCCAACATGACATTGAAATCCTTCATCTTGATTATCATAAAATCAGTTTGCTCAATCCAAGTCTCCAACTTGATCAAAGTTCTCTTTGCAACTTTTGAGATAGGTAAGGCTACAAAATTACAAAATTGACAATTTTATCGTCTCAGTGTCTTTATCATGAAGTTGTGGATGACTCTAGAATTGATCATTCTACTCTTGGCAAATCTATGGTTAACCAAGACCTCAATGTACATAAAACATCATTCTATTGGCTCTTTTGTCTCTCCCACCCTCTTTTGGAAAGCAAATAGTACTTCAAAGTCCCCAATGCATGGGTTTTTGACGCTTTGACTTGAATGACATGGAGAACCACCCTTTGTGGGTATTCAGATTCTCAATAGGCCACCTTGCATATGAAGAAAACGAGTGCCTTTATTTGTAGTTTTTTTTGTTCATGAAGTTTGTCATGAATATCTACCTCTCTTTTAGGAGGATTCATAGTCTCATCCTCGAGCTAGTCTTGTAATTAATTATTTAACAATTTTTTATTTATAATTTAATATTATTCCTTGTATGAAAAATCCAAGGTGTCAAAACTCGAATTTTCAGTCATCAAAACCCGTGACATGAACCAAGAGACATCAATCATACAATATACTTCAATGAAGATGAGAAGCAAATATAGTTGAAATTATCAAAAGATATTTTAATTCATGCCACATCGAAGAAGAATGAAGTTTCATGTTATAAATTTTAGGTAGATTACAATTTAGAGTAATTTAGAATATATTGTATGAGTGATATCTCTTGGTTCATATCAACCTGGAGACTAAAAAGATAAAAGCAAAAATAAATAAAAATAAAATAAAATAAAATAATAAAATGAAGTAAAATCAAAATCAGATTAGTGAAACAATATCACAATAAAAATACAAAATAAATACCATTAATATTGTTTAAATTTATTACCATGGGAAAATGGATTTGGGATAGAATTATAAAATGTAATACAAAAAATGAAAAAATAGACCATTAACTTGCGAACACCTAAAAAAATAAAAGGGAAAAAGGGTGAGTAAATAAATATATCTAGTAAGCAATTTATCTGTAGGCTCTCATCACATCTTAGACCTAGCTTGTGATCATGGACTTTACTCTAGGCTCTAGGTGGAGATCTGTCGTTGTTCATAGACTTGGGAGACTACGGCAGTGGTAACCGGTGTCCAAGGTTAAGGTGATACCTCACAAAACTCTCTGTAATAGGTGGGGACAACATGGTGAGTGCTAGCCTGCTCATCATCCATGGGAGGTATTTAAGAAACTCGTTCCACAAGCCATGTAGTCACCTAAAATTAGGGGTGCCACCCCGTATGTGTTAGCTTCCTTGACTACCCGTAAGATCAACACCCACTCACCCTGCAGAGGAATCCAAGTGAACTATCAAGTAGCATGTTCCTATCCAACCGCACACCTAACTCAACAGTATCGTACTGGCATGGAAAGGGAAGTGGAATCTCCATAAACTTTACTGTCTACAATCGGCCTAGGTGGATACCTTTATGTACTAGGGTTGTCGTGGTGGTCTTTTAGGTCCCTAGGGCGGTTTGGCAGCCTTGGCATAGATTCACGTCTCTAGGTTCCTCGATTCCATCTCTTTGAGTCTGATTAAGTCTGGAGCATTAGGGGCTACACTTTTTTATGTCTTTGTAAAATAATTGGAATAACTGGATGGATAAAGTTTGTAATAAATAGTTATATTAAATAGGTCCTCATAATTTCAATTTAATTGAAATTTAAATGAATTTATTCAGCCAACGCCTTTATTTTGAACCAAACATAAATTAATGCGGAGAACGGTCCGTTTAACTTTTGGTATCCTCTCTTCCCTATCTCATTATTTTTTCAATTTCATTAGTACTTTCACTTTCCAAAATACTTTTTCACATTCCATTTATATTCCATTTATTATAATTATGATTGTGGTAGTAATTTAATCATTTAAGAAAAGAGTTAAAATAATCTAACAATTAACTGATAAGCCCATTTATAAAAACTTAGATTCGTATATAAGTTTCATTCTTCTGTTTATAATTATATAAATATTTATAATAATTTTATAATTAAGATTAACTAATCTAACAATTTTGTAGCGGATGGATACATTATTTCAAAAATGTCCAATAATATCAATTAGACACTCTCTTATAAAAAATGATTCGGTTTTCTCTCTAATGGAGGTGGGATTTCACAATCCACCCCCTTCAGAGCTCAGAGTCCTTGTTGGCAATCATTTCGTTTCCCTTTCCAACCGACGTGGGATCTTACAATCGACTTCCTTCACGGCTTAATGTTCTTGCTCGCACTCATTCCTCTCTTCAATCGATGTGAGATTTCTCACAGTACTCTCCCCTTTTGGGCCCAGTGTCCTCACTGACATACCGCTTGGTTTTTGGCTCTTATACCATTTGTAACAATTTGTAACAATTCAAGCACACTGCAAATATTGTCCTTTTTGGGCTTTCACTTTCGAGCTTCTACAAGGTTTTTATAACACGTCTGTTGGGATAGATTTTCACAACCTTATAGAAAATACTTCGTTTATCTCTCCAATCGATGTAGGGTCTCACAATCCACCCTTCTTCAGGGTCCAGCATCCT